CAGGGTGGAAAAGGTTCATCCTGGTAAGGACGGACTCGTGCGAACGGCTACCGTGAAAGCACAGAAAGGTGTATTCAACAGGCCTCTTCAACGCTTACACAGATTGGAAATTGATGCAGCGGCCCCACAAGTTACCCGTGAAGCTGATGTTCCTGTTGACGGTGGGGAGAAGCCGCGAGCGAACTCTGTTAATGTTAAAAGTGTACCTATTCGTAAGCCTAAGAAGAGAGTTGTCCTCCCCGAAGGAGGACAAGGTGGGGAGAATGTTACGGCCCATCGTCGTACTCGTACTAAGGGGCATTAAAAGTCCCGTGAGACTGGACCTGTGAGAGTAGAATAAATTATGTAGATAACACGTCACGTGACTTGCTTTTCTAGTCGCTCGTAGATTTGTTGTAAGTCGGGTTCCCGGGCAGTACATCAACCTGTTGTAAATCGGTGTATTGTAAATCGAGCGGATTAAAGTTGTGTTCAAGCGTTCAAGTTTGTATTCCATCGCTTCCTTAACAACCAATCAGAACTCTGTATTGATAATAGACCACTGGTTGGATTTTACTAGTTGTCAATATTTTGGTTTAATACTAAAGCTATCACCTTTGTTACTGCTTGTTTTCAACCACGTCACAAGGCAGTCATGCTGGTGGGCAAAACAGTGAAATTTTATTTCGTAGAATTTGCATGAAAAAAGAGTTTCATTCCCAGCAGAGAGAAAGTCTTTTGTTTCCATCCAACAGCATGGCCACCAGGATGTCAGCTGAAAACCACCAATTAATGTTAAATGGTAGACACCTTAAGATGCACTGATCCAGTGCACAAAATATGAGGATAGAGTGCGTCTTACATATTAATTTTGCAAAATTAGTATGTTCGGCTATCTGTTTCCTTGCAGAGAATAGTTGTATCTTAAGTTTCTTACAGTGTTAGTAGGGGATAACACTCTCTGACTCTCTCGTTACGTATTTTATTTTATTTTCAGTTTTTCTGCAATTTTGTGCGCTATTTGGCATGCTATGACATGTGTTTGCCCTTAATCAATTGTTTGTTTAATTAAAAAAAAAATTGTTTTGAAAGAATTTTAAAATGCTTGACTACTCTGCATACAACCTACCAAACAAGAAACGTGTTACACTGCATAGCGCATGTTGTGTTACACAACATAGGTGGTGATTAAAATGTTAAAACGCTATTTTTTTTTTCTACCAAAGAGGTTATTATAAACTTGATTCCAAAGTTTGTTACATCCATTTTGAAATCACTGGTAATTACTGCAATCTGATTGGCCCTAAACCATATCTCTATAAATGACGGCTTTCATGCTCTAAACGGCATCATTTCTTTTACTTCACACCGTTGGCACACTATATTGTATCACTTCTTTTTTGGGTACAAAATGAAATGTATCTGCCTTTTGATTACTGCTTCTCCTGCTAATAGATCAAATAAATATTGCTACTTTCTAAATTTTGTGATTTCAAAATGGCTGTAATAAAGTGACGGTTGAACTTCTTGTTGGGCAAATTTTTGTCCGAAATAATAATATTGTGTATAGACCTTTCCACCAATACAGGTGCCATATCGAATTAATTAAATCTAAGGAGTATTATAGGATGCCCGGGGGGCACTTGCTCAGTATTTATGTTTGCTTTTCGGGAACAAAGAAAACGTCACTGTATAATTCTCTGGAATTAGCTTAATACATACTATGGTTTTTATTTTGCGACAGCTGGTACTGTTTGTAAAATAGTTTTTTTTTCTTTTCTTTCTTTAAATTTGTGTGTCTCTTCCCCGCCTCGATTAGGCTCTCCTATACGCGGGTGGAAGCTATCGTGTAATTGTAAATTGAAAGTGAATGAATAAAGTTGAAGTTGAAAAAAGCGATCATTATTACATCCTATCATGGTACAACGATCTTTTTTTCTCAGTACAATTTTTTCCTAGGAAAATTGAACCAAAAAGCATGCGTAATTACTGACTGAATATATGAGATCGTGCTCATGCCCCCCAAGCATCCCATAATACTCCTTAAACGTAATTGATTCTATATAGCCGTTCTCTAGGTAAAAACCTCTATTTAAACACCATCAGTCTCATTACTCTGCATCCTTTTTTTAATTTTCCCGTCTATCTTTTCTGCTTCTGGTATCTTTTCGTCTTTTCCTTTTTGTTTCCTGTTTTGGGAGGTAGTCTCCATCTGAAAAAAAAAATAAGTCCACAATATTATTCCATTAACCAGAACAATAGTGGTAACAGTTATACACACATATACCTGAGTACCACTTTCTCAACTTTTTATATTTTTCATCTTTTAAATCTTAGATAAGGAACATGTAAACTTTTTTACACCTGGCACAGGAAAAAATAACGGATTCCCATTTTTGGATATTTTTGGGTATTTAAAGAATACCCACAAAAATCCCAAATTTGGAAGAGTGAGACAAGTCCCAATCTGGGAACTTGGTTGGGAATTCCCTGGTTGGGACTTGTCTCACTTTGCCAAATTTGGGATTTTTATGAATATTCTTTAAATACCCAAAAATGGGAATCCGTTATTTTTTCCTGTGTGGATTATATACACACATTCCTGATATGGTAACAATGGAGCTTATAGAACTCTAACTAACTTGATCCTTACACTAACTCAAAGTCAAATCATTGTATCTGCTGTAATTTCACCTGTTGTAAGTCAAGCCCTCCTTAAATCACACTCTTACGAAGTAATCTGTGTCTTATTTTTCTATGTATTATTAACTTATCTCTATTTGAATAATAATTAATGGACTTTTCAACAACAATAGCATGGTTATTTTTTTCCCCTTACCTTCTGTGTGAAGGGGGAGAGTCAATGAGCTGGTGTGTGTGGTGACAGATGGTGCTAATGTGGTCGATGGGGTGGTTAAGGAGGTGAGAGTCAAAGTGGTGGTAGCTGTTGTGAAACATGTATCAGACGATCTTGGGCTGGTTGGGCTTGCATCTATAACATAGTGAAAGGTAGAAGAAATCAGAAGAATTTAAAATTATTATTACAAGTCAAAATTATGGTTGGGTTTTTAACCTAGATTGCCTTCAAGTTGTAATTCTGTTGTACTTTCTCTTTTGTTTTTTGGTATGGTGATGAATGCTAATAAATTTGAAACACAGGAGAAATGAATATTACCAACTGTACAACATGTCTATGGTAAAATATACATTTTAATTGCCTTGTAGAACAAGAAAGCTGCTAAATTTCATCGTAGTTGATGAAGCAATATAATATTTAAAAAATTCCAAAAAGAAGAGAACTGTAGACAGGGTGATTGTGTTATTGGCAAGAGTGCTTATTGTCATTTTCAGGTCCGTCGATGATATGAGAAGTGATCTAAACTGTATTCTTAAGAACTTAATAATATCCAGACTAGTTTGGACAGTTACACTACACCTCTATTTACCCTTATAAATAGATTGAATTGCTCACCCTCAACTGTCTTTGATAGTTCCTCTCCGAGACTTCCGTCAGGAATGTCCCCTCTGAAGTAAACCTGCAAAAAAGAGTGAAACAGAAGGGAGGAATGCTGTCCAGATTATGGCTACCTTGCCAACCCAAAGAGGGCAGCCTATTTTTTCAACTGTGAATTGTACCAGAAGACTGATTAAGCATTAGTGGGTAAGTTATTAGTGCGCTTCACTGTTAGTGTCTACTGGTCAAATTCCTGTTGATTGTGAACTGTCCAACCTGTACTGGGCAGATAGGGGCGGAAATGTCCATTGAATTTGGAATCTACAGGTTATCAATTATCAAAGAGCAACTTACAGGTTCTTGATTATTTATAATTTTGTTATTTTTAGTTTTCATAAAGTTTTCATTATCATATAGTTCTAAAAATATAAGGAGGTGTTATAAATAGTATGTTTGTTTGGAAAATAGGCGTTACAAATGTGTATGTCATAGCTATTAAATTTTATCTTGTTTTTTTATCAGATAGACTTACTGGGAACTTACATTAATGCTTTCTTCTTTTTACATATGATTGTTATATTTTTAATTTTAGCCTTGTTTAAAAGTACCCAATCGAATTAAAGAGGTTAAATATATGCATTAAGTTAATCTTTCCTTCGGTGTCTGAAGTTTTCAGTCAATGACAAGGATGCCTTTCACCTGTAACCTGACTGCAGTTCACCCATTACCCCTGTCAGCTGACGTATCAACCCCTACTAACGACCTCTTCCCCAAACTTGACCAATAGCCTTTTGCCTCCTCTCCTAGCTATTTAGATCTACACCATGTGAAACCTTCTAGTACTTGTGGTCTTCTTTATTTACATCTTGCTCTCTGGCTCTGAGAGATTAGTCACTGTGTTTCTACCATGCCTTAACCATTGAACACTCCTTTGAAACTTTCCAGAAGTATTCCATCTTTTCTTGTTATTTTCATCTTCACTGTGTTCATATTTGGTCACACTCTTGTCGCTTGTTTGCAATTCCCAGCGGTTATGACTTTGCATGACTTGTTTTTAAGTAGCACATTGTTTGCTAGTCTAATAATTGATTCAGTGTATTTTCATTTGTAGTTGTATATCAAGTTCTCAATTATTTAGTGATCATTTAATTTTAGTTTATTAAATGACTTGTGTCTTGCATTTGGTATTTGATACACTTCCTTCATCAAATACTTATTTTGTAATAATTAACTCAATGTATTGTACTTGCTTGAGGGTACTCTTTTAACTTAATATTAAGACTATGCTTATGCATTATTATCGTTCCCTACCGGCATTATCTAAAAACGTTCAACCCATTTACCTAATTATTATACCTTTTTGGCAAAGCATGCTTTCCCTTATAATGACTTATTATACATTAATATTTTTTATGGCAAGTAATAACAGCTTGGCAAGGCATCTAGTCAAAAGTCATACTTGGTAGTCAGTATTGTTGTGAACGCATGAGTCTTTGATTAATTCTGTGTTACATGTTATATTATGTTCCCAAGAACCTGGTGGCAAAGATCCTCGCTCACATAGAGCATGGACACAGAGGACCTGGCTCGATTAAGAACCCAGTCTGCGAGAGTTATGTTCCCAAGAACCTGGTGGCAAAGATCCTCGCTCATATAGAGCATGGACACTGAGGACCTGGCTCGATTAAGAACCCAGTCTGCGAGAGTTATGTTCCCAAGAAGCTGGTGGCAAAGATTCTTGCTCACGTAGAGCATAGACACAGAGGACCTGGCTCGATTAAGAACCCAGTTTGCGAGGGTTATGTTCCCAAGAACCTGGAGGCAAAGATCCTTGCTCACGTAGAGCATGGACACAGAGGGCCTGGCTCGATTAAGAACCCAGTCTGCGAGGGTCATGTTCCCAAGAAGCTGGTGGCAAAGATCCTTGCTCATGAAGAGCACGGACACAGAGGATCTGGCTTAGTTAAAAACATTATGAGGTTAGATGTCCAGAAATTCAAGTGGTAAATAGTTCTATGTTTCTGTGTTGAGCAAAGACAGAAAGGCCTGAGAATTACTTAAAATATTCCAAAGTAGAATTTTTTTTAACCAGCTAATATGATTTGTTATATAAAAGTAAAACTAGAAATAAACATTCAGTTTAAAACATCAGTTCATTTTCAAATGCATTTTTTTAAAAAAGCACTAGCATAATAAGCATCATTTAAATTTCTTATTCAATGGTACATTTTCATGTGCCAACATCTGCTTGCATTCCCCCCTTACCTCAGTGTCTGCCTCGTCCTCGTCCTCGTCCTCGTCCTCTTGAGTAAATTTTGAGTCTTTTGACTCTGAAAGCACACATTCTTTCCTGCAAGAACAGGTAACGATCAACTTCAGGTAACCGTAACATCCAGGGTTTTCATTAAGAATTCTAATAGCAGGAGAAAGGTGTAACGTTGCAGGAGAATATTTTTAAAGAGGCTCCACATCTGAGTAAAAAATAGTCATCGGCTATTAATTTGACCGTTAGCCAGAAAATTCTTTGTAGCAAACGGAGAATTCTCCGATCTCCGATGCCTAATGAACACCCTGAACATCTAACACTTTATAATACCTTTAATATTATTAAAAAGCGAACTCTTTTGGGTTCCACTTTTAGGTTAGATAATGATCAGGAAAATGGCAAGGAATCAGACTGGCTGCAAACATGCTTTTTTCAGCAACTGGAAATTTCCAGGGCAAAGGGTAAGTAATAACATGGCCTTACCTTTCACTTTTTAGACCTTTCAGTGAAATATGTCCATGGTTTATTGCATTCATTACGTCTTGTTGCATAACTGTTTTCAAAGCATCTCTTTTAATGCAGAACAAGAATGCAAAATGTTAACAATGAACCCACTGGTGTAATAAATAGTCAAGTACTGCTATAAATGCATCTGCTTTTTCTGTCAAACATTGTCAAATTATGGATTTTTTTGTGTACCATTTATGGTATGGCTTGGTTATGTGATAAACTTGAAAAAGAGAACACATGCCAAGAATAATAGCATGTAAATAAACAATTCTAACGAAAATAGCTAAAATAGCTTTAAGCAACTGTGCTGGTAGCTTACCAGAATACCGCTCCATGAGAACTGGTCGTGATGTCGTCGGTGCAAGGATGAACACCTCTGTTTGAGGGTTACTCGAGCCAAATTTATCTGGGACTGCGAATTTAAGATAATTATGTGATAAATATAGGCAATAACGTATGTAACATAATTAATAATATTATGACTGAAATTAATGTGAATAACTGACGTGCAGGCAAGGATTATCATAGTATAGTTGAAACAAATAGAAAGATGCTTTTTAGGATTTGAACTAGTGCTAAGTTTTGTCTTTACTCGACACCACTTCTTCTCTCCATTTGTTGTGGTTATATGTACCTTTATTTTAATATTTACCTTGTCTGGCACTTTTTGTCCCCCATTTGGCAGTCCAAAAATATATGTTGGGGGTATTCCCCAAAAAGCTGAGCATTCTACGAAATGATGAAATTAAAACACAATATCAATAAATTAAAAACTAAACAAACTAATAAAATGTATTGGCCAAGCGCCCACCACATGACCTGCAAATAACTGTTTTTAATTAATGGTCTGCTCAGGCACAATGTTGTCCAACTTTGTTGGCTGCAAATAATATTCTGCTCATGCGTAAATGAACCACGCTTTTCTCCTTCTTGGGATCGCTCTTGAGTGAAAAATGGCAGATCGCTTCGCTTCCGAAGATATTCATTCAAGAACAAACTCGGCTATCACAAAATATCGTAATTCGTCAGTGTCTCGCAGACAAATCACGATATTTTCCCTAACCTCGTCCAATAATTGTAAAATATTATTTCAACGAAATTCAAATCTGAAACCAAAGTACAAACTTTTTAGCTAAAATGAACACCACATTCTTTTATAACAGGGAGTATTTCTGGGCAAGGATATAGGAAGATATGAGTAACAATTTTCCTCACTTTTTCAGAGAATTGATTTTCCATTGAGGAGTAGGGAGAAACTTCTTGTGTGTGCAGTAAAAAAAAATTCCGTTATTTTTAGTTTAGAAATGTGTTCCCTTGTTACCAAAGTTAGAATTCTTATAATACATACCTGCGCACAGGGTCAAGGTCATCTCCTTCTTTGATAACCACACATACTATTACGTGTTCATCAGCCCTCCCTTGGTGGCACATCTACATGTAAAAGAAATTAAAGAACGTTGTTATCTGTTCATATTGCATTGCTCTATAATTTAATCTGCAGTGGATAACTAGACCCATTCTGCTACTTTTGAAACTGTTGCTACGGAGAAGTCTTCAAGTTATAAATTATGGACACAACTGCATTGACAAAATGTGGAAGGTGGCCCTAAATTGACCACTTGCTTCCGACTGTTTTGCCATGATTCGTACACAATTTTATAATTATTGGCCATCATGCTATCAAATGGTCAAATGGATAAAGATAATTGTAAGCTCAAGGCAAATAGAGACGTCTTGGGTAGACCATAGATTGGAAGCAAACCTCATCAAACAGCAGATTTAAAAACACTGGCATCGGTTTGTAAATATTTCCATCCAGGAGCTTCCTCTCACAGTCGATAACCTCCTGGAACCTGTCCATTTTACCAAGTGGCACTATTTACGTAGATACAATAATATTATATCACTTTTAGAAAGAAGATTGGGAAGTGTGTTAACCCTTTAAGAACCAATATCCACATACCAAAATTGTCCAAACTGATCTCTCTTATTTCCTTAAGAAATAAGAACTGGACTAATAAAAAATGGACTAAGAAAAAAGAGAGGCTGCTCGTAGTCTATAATTTCCTCCTCAAGCAGAACTTAACATGGCTCATGTTTTTCTCTTGAACGAGCACCCCTTGCCTTTTTCACCTTAATGCTCCCATAACAGCTACTGATTGGTCACTTATAAAGACAATAATATTCACTGAACAAAAAAAAGGATTTGATCCATAATTAAATTGCATTACACATTGACCAGCAAGGACATACCTTTTCCTTTTCTGGAATCTAGAGTCCCCAATGGATTAAGATCTTCCACAATATCCCCCACTAAAAATCAAATGACATTAAAAAAAAAAATCAGAGATCAATAAGTTCTCAATGAAACAAAACAAAACAAGGGATTTCCAGTATGGATTGTGTGTCATACCTGTTTCAGGGGGCTCTCTGGAAGCTGACAGGTGATCATCTATTCATTGAAAAAGAAAAAATTGAATAATATTAATATGGATACCAGTAATTACTTTTTTTTTGGATGCCTGTACAGACATGAGGGTAATCGGTACCAAACGTTTGGTATATGGCCCCTGAACAACATATTATTATAACAATTATCATAATATGTTGTTCAGGGAAAAAATATACAGTATATAATTATAGTGTCTATTCCTAAACATAATTTGTCAAATACATGTATATATTTTAAAAGGACTGGCAAAAATGCATTACACCCAAAGCTTTTAGTACTGCTGGGTATTGCCCACCTGCACACTGGGAAATTATTGATTTAAAGGGACTCTGAAGAGTGCATTCCAGTGAAATTGGAGCGACCATTTAGATGAATTCACGATGATTTCCATGATGTCATAGTCCTGGCGCAAGTACTGGTGTTGCAAACAGTGAGCTGTTATATCAGACTGGAATATCAGAATGGAATACATAATTGTATGTAATACCTCGACGATCAACAGGATCAATCTCTACAACTTCAGAGGGACCGAGGGTCGGAGTGACCTCTATAATCTCATCAAAGGGACTGTGAAGCAAATCGTCATCTGTAGAAATCAACAGACATGTCATAAAAGATAATGCGACCACAAGCAAAATAATTATACTCCAAACAGATTGACCATCATAGATGATCTCATTGATGACCCCTCTCAACTGAATTCCTCTACTCCAATTTAAAACTAACCCCACCCCCGATGATGTTAAGTTTGTATTAGGTTGCTCCTCTCTAATAAAAATCCTCTGTTTAATTCAAGCATTAATTGCACCCCATTTACATGTATATGACATTTACGTTAAAAACCTAGGAAATAGAAAATGGACAAAAAATCCTTCAATTTCTGTTCTTTCTTGAATGATTAATAAGTCGCCCCATGTAAGGTAATCCGGAATCCGGAATCCAGGTAATTTTGGTCTGTGGAATCCGGAATCCACGGCTTTGGAATCCGGAATCCAGCTAATGGAATCCGGAATCCAAGCATTGTAATCCAGAATCCAGGTTGCTGGAATCCACTCTGTGGTGATGGTTCCAGGGCCTCTTCTTTTCCTTTAGCGACTGTTGCGTGAAAATCTCATGTCGCAAGATCGCGCAACAGGCATGTTCGCGCGTGTTTCCCTCGCAGGAACATCCCTTGTCATTGTGACATATCGGGTATCAATTTGAAACAATGGTCACATTATAATGACGTGACAGAATCCCAGGGAGTGATTCATATTACTGTATATTATCGCTCTTTATAAGACACCCTTTCGACCGGGCCTTTCGACCTTTTTCCCCGTTGCGCTTTTGGAGTCGGAGGTTTAGATTCTTTTCCTGTTTGGGCGCAATTGGAACTAATTTTTGGATTTCGGGTAACGTCAAAAGAATAATAATATAAAGTATCCTTATTCTTGGCCGTAGTATCAGTAGTCGCTGTGGTTGCAGTTACTGGCTTCTTTAATTTCAGGCACATGTCATCAGTGTCACTCAAAGAATGACATGCTGCACGTGGTGTCGACGTGGTGTCTTTCATTCAGTCCAGATTCAATCAGTCGAAATCAGACATCTCGAGAGATCACTTTGAATTTTTTTTTTCAATCGATCGTTATCAATCTTTGTCAGCATGGGGAAGCACAAGAAAAAGCATGAGTCGGAAAGGTACGTACGTCTATAAATTCGCTGACTGCGATCCCAAGCAAAAGAGCTTTATGAATTCCATGCTAGCAGTCAGGGCGAAGTACCCCTACCAAGTCCCTATTCCTGACTGCCCACACAACATCAAGTCAGTACGTTCTGCAGAGTGTTGGCATTGGATTGACATTGATGGATACCTAGTGAATGTAAGGCTGCTTTTGGTGCTACGTAGAGAATACGAAGACATCAAGAAATCAGTTTCATTGAAAGCAGTTCGAAACAAAGATCGGATGGATGTAGAAACAGCAGTGGAGATTCACCGGAAAGCGATTCAAGATTCCATTCCAGATGAAAGAGTGAGCACAACATTAGTTCCAGAACTGGAATTCAAGCACTGGAAAAAGAACGGGGCCTCTCTTTTTAAGCTACCCGGTAGGATTGGCATTCTCCCAAAGCATAGCAGGCTGTTTATTACCGATAGACGTCTCCATGCAGTCTTCATGGTTGACATGCACTGTCCAGCAAATGTCACATTAATCGCTGGTGGTGGTGAGCCCAGGCACACTAATGGATATGGCAACAAGGCCAGATTTAGAAACCCAGCTGGTATTGCGGTGAAAGAGAGCGGGAAGCTGTACATTTGTGACCAAGGAAACGGAAGAGTTAGAGTAGTCAATTTGCGAACGCTTTTCTGTCACGCTTCCCAGATTGTACAAGGGAGCGCCGAAGAAAGCCAAAGTGAGGAAGAAGATTGCGCCGGTAGACGTATCCGTAAAGTCCATGTACAAGATCTTTCCCTTATTTCTGAAGGTAATGTACCGGATCTGGTGTCACCATTTGCCATATGTGCGTCTGCAAAGGGTAGCGTTGAACTGTTTGTGTCAGACGTTGGTCTTGGCAAGATTTTTTCAATTTCTCGGGCGTTGTAGACGATGAGGAAACTAACTGCGTCGGCCAGTTAAATGAATTGTTTTGTTTTGATCGATCCATTTTATTAGCTTCATTAGCCTTAACACGTGACGAGCAATACTTGTTAGTTGGAGACGGGAATGGTTCATGTATTCATCTTTGTCAAGTGAGAGGACGATTGAAACTGAGAACAATTTCGAATATTCCAGGCCTCATGGGTATTGCAGTGACAGATGGTGGAACCGTGTTCTTGTCCTCCAGCAAAGAACACGCACTGTTCAGTTTGAAGGAAGAAGAGATGCTTGGTGGTAAAGAAACCCTAACAAAAGTGTGTGGAGAAACTGCAGGCCATCGTGATGGTGTCCATAGTCGATGGAACAAGCCTACTGCTTTATGCGTATATCGAAACATTGTTTTCGTATGCGATACCGGTAACGTAGCAATAAGAATGTTGACGTCAGCAAAGGGACTGATCCCCCTGCAAAGTAAGATGGCCCAATATGCAAACGTGTTCCGACTCGACAAGAAAGCCAAAGAAGAAGACCTACCACGTACATTTGAAGATCATGTGAAATCTGTCGAGGAGTTGGTTGCATTTCTCTCTAACCACGAACAGGAAGCCCTGGAGAGGACGGGCAAGCGAAATACCAACGGTCCCGACATGACCATACCTCGATGCACCCGACAGTCCTTCCTCATAGTGCTAGAATCGCTGACCAGCCTTACCAACACGCTAACGGAGATTGGGCATAGTCACCTTTTGGACAGGATCTGTTTCGAAAGTATGACAACTTTGGGCGTGGAATGCTATTTCAAAGGAATGCGAGCAGACCACGACATGCCTACAGTGGCTAACTACGCTTACAGAAGAGCGCGCTGCGTGGAAGACGATATGCTGCGCATTTACCAGAAGAATTTCTCATATTTCACAGGGCCCAATTCATATTATCCGGAGAAAATTATCAAAGGTGAGCCCCCAAACATCAAGACGCGACCAAACAAGCTGTCAGCAATCACTGAAGGAACAGGTAGCAAAGAAGAAGACACAAGGCGAGAAACTGTGATGCGAGAATTTGCTAAGGAGTATGGAAGAGGCGTAAGACAGGAAAATGTCCGCTCAAAAACGAAAGAGCTAACTGGCATACCATCACAACCTCATTAGAGGAAAGCGAAGACGTAACAACAGCCTGCCAAGTTGTGGATGCTAATGTGGCATTGCGGAGTACGGCTGTACGGGTGCAAACCATTTACCAGAAAGACGACATATTGGCAGTAAGACACAACCGTAGAAGAGAGATCTCACCCTTCTGGCTAGCAGTTCTTCTGGAGGATGTACAAATAGAAGTGAATGGTGGAAATTTTGTGCAGCAAAGAGTATCCCTAAAGTGGCTAAACCAAACAAGTGATTCACTAACATACACCTCCGGTGATGTCTGTAATGGGAATTCCCCCAAGTGCATTCTAACCCGAGTACTCGACTTTTCTTCCGATGGATCAGACATCATTTTAACAACAGAGGAGGATAACAGGCTCTGTCGAATTGCTAATGGGGATTACGGTGACGATGATGACAATGAGAATGAAACTGCACCACCAACTGCAGAGGATGAGGGAGAAGTATCCCTCCCGATAAGACTGCCGGGAGTTAGTTTATCAGGACGGAGAACGACACGGTTTATTCTAAGATAAACGTTTCCGTTGCCTGCGTAGCTTGTAGTATAGTAATTGGACTATCTTCACACTATTTGTTGGTAAGCTGTAACTGAAGTTTTACATTTCTGTGTGGCAATTAAACAATTGGGAGACGAATTATGTTTGAACCTGAAAAGCACTGATTTTGGCAATGT